CCAGCAAAACCACGGGCTATTCCCATTCCTGAACCGGTAAGCAAACCGATTTTTATAATTCTGAATATTCACTCAGATTCCCCATCTGGCCAAGCATCGTGCTGTACCAGACTCTACATACACACTTCCGGAAGAGTTTCATAAGATTGAACAGTCAAAAAAAGCAAATTTCGCCGAGGTAAGTGCGTAACTGTTTGCTTTGTGGTGTTTATTCTACAATACTTTCGACTTAAATGACCGTTCAACTGTTTGGTCTAAAGGCTGTTGTAGTTTTGAAACTTTACGATTTTCGTTTCAAGCCAGTGACTGTTTATTTTGGTAGTGTTTATTAGCAGTCTGGGCTGCAAATTTAGTAGCCAAAAGTAATCGCAGAGCCCTCTTGTCTCACGTTAATTGGATAGCCTACTAATGTTGGTTTGTATGAAAATAACGTTGGATAAAAAGGAGCACTTGTTTTAACAAAATATATAAACCGCATGCCTACATCATGTCATGGTGTGTGGTCTACTGTTGTCCATGGTTTCATAAAGTCCACCACAAGGTTTTGTGTGGATAATGTGGCTGGATACTTTCTGGGTGAGTTAAATCGATGTAAGGGACTGTTTAACTGTACTTCTATGAACGTTAGTTCTCAGTACCATAAGTTGCCGGTCAGTTTTATAGAGACTGTTGATCGTCTTACTCTTTTCTGTGGTGTCTTTTTTCGGTTTATAGTAACACTGTTAATTTTTCAGCTAAAATAACGACAGCATTCGTTAACTTAGATTCATGTGGCTTCAGGAAGACTTCTGGTTATCTGTGAAAGGAAAGGATTATAATGCCTATAGACTACCCGCCTTGCTTGTTGGTCTACTAGTCGCGGTTGACTAGAATTAGTTCGCATCAAGTGTTGAGCTACGCAGCTATTCGCCTTGTTTATTCAAAAAGAAATCTGGGTATACGTTCAGTTGAATGAATGCAAAACAGATACAGGTCACGATGAGTAGATCATGTACTCTGCATGCCACTTACTTAAATCACGGGTTAGAGATGCCATTTGATATTATAGTATGATACATTTAGTGATGTATCCGCGTACACATTACTAAGACTAACTTTGTGTTCCGTTTTTCTTTTTCTTTCGAGGTATTTCTTACTTTACTCTATTTTGCCATTGTTACGGCAAACTGCAGTTCAGTACACAAAAGCCGTCTGGTCAGAGTCACATCTATTTATGCCTTGTGTGTTTGTGTGTACTTCAGCAGATGATGTCTATTCTTGATTGCTACAGGTATGACAAAGTTCTGCCTACCTATTTTACAGAACGTAGCCGTTTTTTAAGTGAAACACATTTCATTGTTATTTAAGGTATTCAATGTGGAAATGGGGTAAAAGTTTTAATGAATTCCGAATGTATTTTAAGTACTTAGGTTGTCTAACATCAAACATAATGAGTTGTTAGATAGGAGCTTCATTTTCGTTCGAATTCATAGATAGTGCACCTCAGTTTCATGCTCGAAATTTGAAGTCCGGCCCACTACCTTAGGAGATAACCGTATTAATCATTGCTTCAGTGATCCAATCTTAAACACTAACGATCAATCAAATTTAAACGCTAATCTGCAAGGTTTTATACATACTCCTTAGCTTTTTCAGTTATTTACTAATTAGGCTTGGCTAAACTCCCCGTTTCCATTGCAGTTGATTGCCTTTTGATCCGGACTTCCCGCCTACGTTAAAACAACTTGTTTCACATCTGTTGTGTCAATGCCAAATTATTTACACCTCTGCTTTTTTACATGGTCCCATGAGGCTTAAGGTTATTTACAACTCATTTTCACGTGAATACTTGCTACTCTTCTTGATGGTCTGATTAGGCTACGCTAGGAGACCACAGTTAATTTTGTTTAACAAATGTAAATACTTGCCTTCCCTACTAACTATGAATGTATCAGACGCAAATGTCTGGTGGTTTGTTCCTAGACCTAAACTTAACGGAAACCCATTTCTTGAGAGTGCTGGCAATTACAGCCATCAACTTAATACATCGAACCTTCGCTGAGTTTATGTAATGGCTGAGTTCATTAAAATAACTTTGGTCCATTCATTCTGTTTACTTTAACGGAAGAACTTTTTTCATGTCCTCATTTCACAACTCAAGCTAAACCTACTTCGAAATGACACTAGATTTGCAATGGTTCTCAAGTTTAAACTGTTTCGTTGTTGAGCAGAATATAATTAACCCATAAGTTAATCCCCTCAAACTGGTCTTACAGCTACGTTTGGGTTTGACTGTGATTGGTTTGCTTCCTTTTTTTTGAACGATTTATAATTTAACGGTATATCAAACGATGCTCACTGCACTAGGGTGTACTACGATTCAACATGCTGACTTTTATTCACGAGGTATGTGACAGCGACTAATTGAAATATCCATTGGAACATGTAGTGGTGGATAATGATTTACTTGTCCCAACCTGTAGTGCGTTGCATAACTGTTCACAGTAACACACTATTGTACCAAAATAATATAGTTTGCTCCATTTAGTCTGTGCACTTACCGTCAATTTCTTCAGGAATATTTTAATCTACTCTGTACAATTCTACACTTGGTTAGAGTGAGCGACTACTTCGTGAAAGTGAACAATTCAAACCAGCGTGCGCTTACACAAGGGTTCGGACGCCAAATGTAAATGAAAAGCCATCAAATACGGAGTGTAAACCAAAGAACAAAAAACATGGTACCATACCGTCCGAAATTCCCAGCATTCACACAAATACTGCCAGTGTTCTAAGGGAGTGGAATTTGTACGCAAAAAAAGAGAAGATACGTAGAAAAAGGCAAGTTTTTCGAACAACTGGCTGATTTTGTTACACTGGCTCTGATTCTAAGTAATCCGGTTTCAAATAAGTAAACAAAGAGAGAGCCTAGGGAGCTATCGACCTATGATTTTAATTTCAATCGTTTCTAGAGGAAAAGGTGACTTGTTGGATGTTTCTCTCAGTGACCGATTGACCGAACTTGTATTACTTAATAAAAAAACAATATGGGCTTCATCATATTTGTTCACTTGTTGCGTACCTGCTAACCGCTCATGATTTTTGTACTAGAATCACCGACGAAGGACTATCCACTACTGATGTTCTAAGATTACCGAGCCTGGTGAAGGTTCAATGTAAAGGTCAGCAATCAGTTGTTATATTGAGTTTCAGCCAATGACAGCATTCTGCAAACGTCAAGGATGTGCCCTCGGTTGTTCATCATTCTCGTCTTTGATTTATCACTCGCTTTCAAAGCACCAGTTGTGCACTAGACCGGGGTGAAAAGGAACACGATGAATTACACGTGGTCCACAAGATATGGTTGCATTTCAAGTGAACTTGAGCACGCTTAGTCAACGAGCCATAGATACTCACAATTAAATGCCGATAAACACAAAATCACATATCTGTCAACAGACCTGTGCTCAAGGTCTCTATGTGCGTAAACTACCTAAGAACATTGGTGACATACAGTTAGGGCCTGTCAAGGGTAGGAGTTACACCGAATGTTCGGTTCAGAGCGTACGAGATTTGACCCGAAATACATCTTTACGACGTATAACTCCATTGTATAATGCCACAAGAAAACAAACACAAGTTTATCATGCGTAATTTAAAGCGTTTTGAAAGCATGAAGTGCTAGACGACTAAGGATTAAGGAACCCGGATTAATAGCACTGAGTTTAGTTCCTACTAAGCAAATTAAATGATAGCTTACACAGTTTCCTGCTCACTTGGTTACCCACTGACTAAATTCCTGTTGCTAACCAGGGAGTAAAAATTAAAATGTCTTTTCTTCAAGTCTGATTTTGCAATGAAGTGCCTACGATGTAAGCAAAACTTTTCAGCTAGGATCTGCTCATTTTGTAACGCATAGTCGAACACCATGGTCACAGCCAATTGGGTCAAAATGTTCACACTTCCGCTTGAGTGGCACACACGCAGGGATCAACAGAAGTTCCAATTTTCTTAGCTACCTTCCCAAATCAGTGTCACAGATGACAGATGTGTAAGTCTGTACGTGTCCGTTGTCTGCCTGTTTCTGTGCTTTCCAGTGTATTGCCATACTACTACATTGTTGTTGAAAACTCAGTATTGCCGTTCTTTTTCATGTTAAGTTTGTCTTTTACATTTGAAAACTGTTTCTTTAGGCTCACGAGCCGCAAACCAAATTTTACTCTCCAATCAGCACGGAACCAAGAACGCATGAGCATTTAACTTTTCATTCTCCTATACATATCTGGGGGATTGTAACTAGGTAACATGGGCTCACACTAAATTAAGGGTATGGATCAATGGACCAAGCTGAACGACGATGAGGGTAGAAATGTTACACAAACGGAACGTTTTATCCAGATCAGTGTGCACGTTTGGAGCAGACTGCAAAAATGGTAGGAAAACCGGCTATCTTCGTTTGCGCGACTTTCCCACGAAACATTATTCAGAGAGGTAACTATCGGTTGAGGGTAAACCACGGGGCAGTCAAACAACATTGAGGTCACGATTTATGAAGATCCTGAGTTTTTCGTCGAGTGAAGTGTGTGGATGCAACTTGCCAGTTTGGGTCTTCGTGATCCTCAGATAGCTGGATAGAAAAGCTATCTGAGATAACACTATTTAAAAGTCCACTACGTATATGCATTCACAACATTTCTACTTATGTATCGTGAATACGCCTGATTTAGTCGTGAGAAGAAGCGCGTAGCAAACAAGCTTGTTTCCAGTGTTCCATCATCAGGCTAAATACAACACATTTATGTGGGTTCGACAGGGGTAGGAATGGTAATCATTAATGTCAAGTTGGTCAGACTCGTGAATTCTAATTATGTAAAGCCAGTAACTTGGGTTGCAAACGACAGATCGATCCGGGTTGTTCATACACGGTCACGGGAGGTTCAGCGTTTCTATTTATTCTACTATTACCATTCTAGTTATTCCACTTAATTTCATTTTAGATGAGACGCAATCGTGAAAAATCAGGGCTTCGGCTGGATTCGAACCAGCGACTGAAACACCATACCCAAACTCAACAAGCGGTCTGCCCGCTGAACTACAAAGCCACACCAAGTGCTCCGAAGTTTCACATTTAGACTCAGTTATCCACCCGTCCCACTGTCTCATATGGAATCCACCAAATGATCCAGGAGATCGACTGCCCCGACAGGATTTCCCGAACAGTTCATGCTGGAATCTATCAACGCCACTCTAGTGCATAGAAAGCCCTGATTTTTCACAATTGGATCTCATCTAAAACCATAAATCTGCCAAACTACTTATTAGTAATATAATTTCATGTTATCAATTTTCACGCTTTTCGCTAATTTCTTTCTTCTGGTTTATTGCACGTCGTCATCCCAGTGAACAACGGTCCGATGCACTGTAGTTTCTGGCCATAATTTCACAGCCTTTATAGACAAATTAGCGGTTAAACGCATTCCTTGAAGATCAAACAATGAAAACAACTACATTGGATAATTATGTAAAGCGTTGCACGTCAGAACGCTTCCTATTCAGTAGACAGTTTTCAGACTATTTGGAGGATCAATGATATAACGGTATCTGAAATGACCATTGCAATTTAGACGTTTCGGTTACGACGATTAACCTTTGTCAGTGTGCTTTCCCAATCAAATGCTTACACGCCCAATATCTGCTACTAGGGAATTAAGTCGATCGTAGGTGTGTTGGGGGTTTTCCTGATCGGTTATCTATCAACCTGTCACCAATATTTAGCACTGCCCTCTGTGTATAAGCGTGTGATGGATTCCATAAGAACACTAGTAAAGTTGACAACGGTGGTCATATAATATACGTCCTGCCACTTTATTGGAGTTTACCCCGTACCGCACAGCGATGTCTATTCGGGCGTGCGGTTAGACATATTCAAACGGACGGACGGTTGGCACTATCACCGCGGCTAACCATGTTAGAATGAACGTTTAGTACGGGGATTTCCGGGTACGTACGCTCAGTCTGAGGTTTGAAATCTTGCTTTAGGCTCAGCACTTTGTTACAATCGACTTTTTCACCTTCGGTTAATGCAAGCAACGTGGTAGTCGGGATTTACCTAGTTTTTTTTAAAGTACTGTTTGTCTGTTGGCATACAGCATGTCTCTTGTGTATCACAACTCCTGCTTCTTGTTACCTGGTTGTTTAGCCTATATACTCAGCCGAGTAATGCGTATAGATTATTCTATACGATCATGCCGTGAGATTGACAATTTGTTTTCATCAGATTGCGCTGTAAGGTCTTGCCTTGGCAAAAGACCGTACCCATTTGGTAATCTGTTAGGATTTTGCTGATTGCGTCGAACGTACCCGCTTGACAGGATATTCCAGCCGAGACGGTGTGAAGGTTCTACTTTTGATTGTTTGATCGTATAGCACTTCGAATGAGCTGAGTTGGAAATTAGATATCAGTCGGTGTTTGTTGGTTTACCATATATCTTAATATCAAACATTTTATGTTCGTTTGATGTTAAGTGGTAATCCAGTTAGTCTGTAGTTTTGTGTTCGTTCCCAAGTTTCACTGAAAATCTGCTGTTGCATTTTTCGTTCGAGAATTTTAGAAAAGCCTTTTTATGGCTGGACATAATGAACACAAATATGTTATGTGCACACCTTAACTTTGTCTACTGAGGGTTAGCAAGGTTGCGCAGCGCTTGTTTTTTCTTGCGAAGGCTCAACTGCAGACCAAATTTATCAAAGAATGAGACTGGCGTTAATTCAGTTGGAACAAGAGAAATGTCAAGCATAGTATGAATAGCATGTATTATGATAATAAACGTTTCGAGTATATGAGATCTGAGCTCTACAAAAAAATTGAAACAGAGAAACACAGTCCCTTCGAAATGAAGAAAAAAAATCACTTTTCAACACTTCTGTTGTTGATTTCTTGCATAACCTGGCCGTCATCATGTAGCACACATTATACTTGGCTTTGCCCGAACCAATCTTGTTTCAGTTTTTCCAAACATTAAGTTTGATTCGGAAGTGGTCCAATTAATTTTTCCCTTAAACGTGAACAGTAAAATCTATCGTGTTTTAGTGTATCGATCATTGGTAATGTATTTTCAGTAAAATTGCACAGCTTCTAAACTTTAGTGTGATTCGAGGGCCTAGCTTTCCAAACTATTTCCATTTTTTAAGATTACTTGAGTTAGAAGCTGGAGCCTTTGACAGTTCAGATTTTATGACTTGGCAAATGGAACAGGCGGATCATGAGAAAAAAGAACGTGAACTGTTAAAGGAACAACATCGATTGCAAAGCTTACTTGCTCGTGAAGCTGCGTTTCATGTAAAGCGAAAACTGATCGAAGAACGCCGTTTTAAGGTTGCGCGCGAACAAAAAGCAAATCTAAAGCGTCTTGCTGAAGCAAAAACGGCGAAGGAACAGGAACTGAAAGAAACTGTACAAGTTGCGTCGAGTATTGCAGCTATGCGAAAGCGTTCTCGGTTGGCCGGGCTGAAAATCTGCAACGAAAAAAAGTTAATCGGTAAGTGCTGAAGACATTGTGTGCTTATATAGAGTTCGAACTTTTTAACTTCACAAATCATATTGCTTGTTTTAACGAACCGACCGTTTTTATTGATTTTTAAGTGGTGATATGGCAAACAAAACAGACTGAACGGGTTGAAGCATACTTGCGCCAACTATGGTGAGATTGAGGTCAAAAATGTGAGCGGTATGCTGCACATGCCTTCGACTAATGAACTGTGCATAAAACGATGCGATATTCCCAAATCGGTTTGAGTTGACAGGACAATTGGTGTATCCCCACTGAAGCCGTTTGTGTAAGATGAATAGTGACCACAAATGAACGTGGCTCAACGTTTACGTAATATAATTCAGTCGTACATAGTTTAAGGTCAACAACGCTGCGATCCACAGAGTTGCTTCACAAATGCATTACAGAATTCCAAATCACGACTGCGGTAAAGGTATTCATTACTGATGAGCTCTAACAAAAGCGAAACTCCAGTATAATGCTTCTCAGACAGCGCTGGCTGAAAAGTCTATGGGAGACAAAAGATGTCATTTATGCTCTTTATATATTCTCAGTTCATTGTTGATAAAAGTGCTTGGAAAAAAGCGTATAAAACTCCCTCGGTTTTCGTCTACTCATAGCAGACAACACATTCCTATGCTCAGTCGGTGTCGATGGTATAGTTTTGATACTGGTTGTATGTTCAAAGTTGGGAAAATTGACATTCTTGAAGACTTCCAGGTGGACGGAGAATAAAAAACGATAATCGCCGGTGGCATATCATTTCATCATAAGGATGTTCAATGAATCACATGCTGTCTGTAAAAGTGATAGCAATAGTATTTCAACCATAGACCAGAAATGGTCTGAAACTGTGTTTGTGGTCAACAATTAGATCACCATTTTCACCAGGACAGCAAGTGAACCTTTGGTTGAATGTCATTTCATTCTTGTATCATTATCCACCTGCTACCAACTAATATAAATATTCATTTCATATGCATGGCAAAGAAAACTGAACAGAATGATCGAATCGTTGGAGATAAGTTATGATCAGAGTAGTCTGATTGTATGTGAAGAGTGTGATTTATGCCGTCGGTATTTGTTCAAATAGGTTTCATTAGTCGCCAACTGATTGATAACATTGGTCTGTGTTATCTACAACATCACGTACAGATATATTAAGAACGGTGTCTGCGTTAGTGGATAGCATAAAACCTCCACCCTCTGATTGGCTTAGTTAATATGGCAACCAACCGAATATCCGAAAGCGAACTCTTGGGTGGTCATCCAAGTTCACTGTGGTTATTAACCTACACTTAGCGAACCTTTAAGGACAAGATGACGACCTTCAGTTTCATGTAATGAAAATCTATCATTTTATTACCATCCTTGGTTTACCACATTTCTCTCCTTCTTAGTCGTTACATTCAATAGCTGTTTTGCTGTAATTCTAGTAAGTGTCTTACATGATAATCCTGAAATGTCAACATCCCATAATGTTTGTACTCTTACAGTCCTAGTGTAGACAATATGTAGGTAAGCGTCGGTTTGTCTGAAGTCGCTTGTGTACATCCACCTACCGACTAACGCTTTAGTTCAGAAAAAACCAAAACTGTCTGCTGACATCCAACAGATCACTTGATCGGAAGGTTGATTGTCAGATGCATTAGTGAATTTTTGTATCTTTTGGAGTGACGTGCCAAATTTAACAGAAATATCCCTTGTTGATGGGCTGAATTGCTAAAGAAAAATGCTTTTCATTCCTATATGACTGTTTTTGCGTTTTGTGTACAACCTCTTACTTAATCACACGTTTTGCACCTTTCAGGGCATTTTAAGAGAGGAAGAGAAAACGAATAGCATTTCTCGTTTTTTAACCAAGATTAGTAATTCTGTAATGAATATTTTTGTACGTTTTATCATTCCACCGATTAAAAACGATTGCAGCTAGTCAATTACGAGAAGAAACACAGAAACAACTCAAAACTATGCGAGAAAAATTGAAAGCAGAAAATGAACGAAAGACTGACTTGATTAAACAGATTCGTATTGCTGAATCTGCATGGCTGCTTGAAAAGTCAACAGCACCTAAACAGGTAAGTCCAAGAGACGGTATTAGTATTTCTTCTACTTACGCGGTACACCGTTTTCAGTTTTTTTTGGTTCGAAGCTTATCTGTATGGTGAAATTCTGTTGTGTCAATAGTAGTATAAACCAAAAGTGTTCTTCTGCAAATGTTTTTTTTAATATTTTGTCCCTGTATTTTCAACAACAAACAGAAAGTTGTGGTGTTTGTAGTTTTGGTCTTCAATTCGGTGTGACCAATGCCGTTGACGTATTCAAGTTAGGAATGAATTACATTACTACACAAAATTCTCAATTATTCTTAGATCGATTTTGCTTGCACTCCTGGACTCGGTCTTATGGAAGAGATGTCTTTAGTCGAATTGAAAGAACGACTGGTACTCCTGAGAAAGCAAACAGAATATGCACGACAAATGAAACGCAATGCCATACTGAATGAAAAGCAAAAGAAGAACGAATTGATCGTTGAGTTATTAGATCGGATT